AAATTCAAATGTTCTACTTCTGCCCTTCCCACGTGCATTTGACTGTTGTGTACCAACTTGTATTATTTTAATTATTTTTTATTTTAGATATCTTGCCTATTTATTTTGCTGTAAGACACACTGATTTAATTAAGGAAAAGAGAATCCTTCTTATCTCTCTCTCTCTCTCAGAATTATCTCTCTCTCTCTCTTGTTCTTCACTTTGTTCATCACTTTGTTCTTCAATTTCTTAAAGAAAATCCTCTTGGTGTACAAACTGCATAGCTTGGGATTCGAACCCCATACCTGGTGTAGAAGTCTTTAGACCTTAATCACTAGGATACGGTGCATCCACAAACTGGTTCTGGATAGTTAGGAAAATGAGAATTGCTTTGATGTTTGATTATTGATTTTATATTTAGAAACACAGTCTGAAATAACAATTCAAAATTTATTAATTAATGAAGATAATTAAATAAGCTGAAATAAAGAACACATAAAACCTAATAAATAAAAGAAGTAAGATAAACTAAAACGCAAAAACCAACACCGAAATAAAAGATCCGAGATTCTGATTTGAATCAGCCACTATACTCTCTTTGTCTTCATCCTTGGAAATCTCACTTTTGAATTGCTTCTTCATTGAGTCAGTTGCATGCTGGTGAAGTGACTCTTGGATAAATCTTCAATCCTAAATTTTAAACTCTTTGATAAATCTTCAACCCTTGGATTAATCTTAAACCCTAGAATTTATAATTAATCCAAGGGTTTATAGTTTATCCAAAGGTTTAGAGTGTAGGATTTAAGGTTTAGAGTTTAGTGTTTTGCTGACGGTATTAAAAATATTTAAAAAAAAATCAAAGATTTATACAAGAGTTAAGGGTTTACAGAAGAGTTTTCAAACTTAGGATTTAGGGTTTAAGCTTTAGTGTTTTGATTATAGTATTAAAAAAAATTTGAACTTGTTTTTTTGCAACTACTATTATATTTTTACTTACTTTTATCTTTAAATTTTAAAAAATAATAGAACTCGACAATATTTTGTATCTATTTTTTAAAAAAAATATTAAATATAAAATAACGCAATTTTATTAGTTGGTGAACCAAGATATTTATCGTAGAGGTGAACCTAATAATCACTCAGAAAAGAAAGTAGGAGAGAGTAGTAGTTTTGCTTAGTTAATAAATCTGTGTGTTTTTTTATATGGTTAGTAACTTAGTAGGCTTAATTTCCCTTTTTTGCCAGTGATGAAAAAGGTCAAGTTGAGAGAACTGAGGGGAAAAGAAGGAAATAGCCAAATAGGAGATCCAGGGTGGTTTTAAAATAGATTCCGTTATTTTATCATTCTCTCTCTTTTTCAAATCTTAAAAAAGGTATCCTAATTATAATAACGAAATATGCTAAAAATCACCGTTGGAAAAGCGTGGCTTTCGCTTGCGTTTCCCTCTCTTGTCGTTCCCATGTCTCCCTTCCTCTCTTTCTTCCTTGGTTTTATTCTTTGATATACAATTTGGATCAGCAGACACCAAAACTCAAAGACGTTAACAAAAATTCAGTTATCGTAATAAAAAAAAAAAGAAGCAATATTCAATTCAAAGCTCCCATTTCATTTTTATATATCTCGGATTTGAAATCCATCAACGACGGTAATGGTGGCGATGGATCTGAGTCAAACTTTACGCATTATAGCGGGCGTTTTCATGATGGTGATCGAATTAGCTTCCGGTAATTTCGTGTTCAATGTGACGCATAAGTTCGCGGGAAAAGATAAACAGTTAGCGGAGCTCAAATCCCACGACACCTTCCGTCACGCTCGAATGCTCGCGAACCTCGATCTCCCTCTCGGCGGTGATAGCCGCGCTGACTCAATCGGGTTCGCTTCTACGATCCATTTCAAGATTTTTAATTTTGGATCTTATGAGATTTTTTACATTTTGGTTTGATCATGTCCAGTTTATATTTCACCAAGATCCAGCTTGGGTCACCACCGAAGAGTTACCATGTCCAAGTTGATACAGGAAGTGATATACTTTGGGTCAACTGCGCACCTTGTCCCAAATGTCCTGTCAAAACTGATCTCGGTGTATGCTTCCCTCCCTCTTTCATGATACACTTTTACTTGACCTTCTTTCATTTCAACTTTTGTCTGTTTATGTTTTGCTGCTGTCCAGATACCTCTCTCCTTGTACGACTCAAAAGCTTCCTCCACTTCCAAGAAAGTTGGGTGCGATGATGACTTCTGTTCCTTCATTTCGCAATCCGACACTTGCGAACCCGAGAAGAAGCCATGTAGTTATCATGTCGTCTATGGAGATGGAAGCACAAGTGATGGAGATTTCGTCAAGGATAACATTACCCTTGACCAAGTCACTGGAAATCTTAGGACCGCACCTCTTTCGCAAGAAGTTGTCTTCGGGTGAGAGAACATATAATACCATTCAACTCTCTGCTTCTTAAACTCATGGCTTTATTTCCTCAGGTGTGGAAGCAATCAATCAGGGCAACTAGGGCAAACTGACTCAGCTCTTGATGGCATTATGGGATTTGGACAAGCAAATACCTCTATCATTACACAACTTGCTGCTGGGGGCAAGGTAAAGAGGGTTTTTTCACATTGCCTAGACAACGTTAATGGAGGTGGAATTTTTGCTGTTGGGGAAGTCGAGTCTCCTGTAGTGAAAACTACTCCTTTGGTTCCTAATCAGTAAGTGAGAAACCCATCTTATCGAGTCATCCACTGTTGTTGGATAGGAAATTAGAGTTCGCTTTACTGAAAACCTTTTCTGGTTTCTGCCTTCTCTTTCTTCTTGCTTATAATGTGTGAAAGGCTTTTTTTGCTTGAGAAATTTTCTTCATCTGTGCTGTAGTTTGATAGTTTCTCTTTCTCTCCTGTTAGTGGGAACTACTCTCTGCCAATGACTTTGAATGTAGAGTTCTCTCCAAAGCATTTGTGCTTGTGGTGGTGTTAAGTATTGTTTCCTGTAATAACTTTAAACAACAACGTTATTTAGGGTACATTACAACGTCATTTTAAAGGGAATAGATGTAGATGGCGAGCCTGTTGATCTCCCACCAAGCATAGCTAGTTTTGGCGGAAATGGGGGAACCATAATCGACAGTGGTACAACTTTAGCTTACTTACCAGAGAATCTGTACAACTCGCTACTTAAAAAGGTGAAACTCTTTTACACTCTTCGTTTTCTAGTTTATAATCACAACCCTGACATGGATAATTTTCTGTGTGTATAAACAGATTACTGCTCGGCAACCGGTTAAACTGCACATGGTACAGGAGACTTTTGCGTGCTTCAGTTTCACTTCAAAGTAAGATGACTTGCTTAGTATTTCTAGCCTCTATATCTCAACCATTTTTCAGATGTTTTGATACCAACAATGGGGGCCAAGTTATCTATTTTCTTAAGTAAAACATTCATCACTGATACGCAAAATGAGTGTGTAGATGTAACAATATGTATATGATGCTTTGAAATGGAAATGCTAAAATTTTCTTCCTTGTACCTGCAGCACAGATAAAGCATTTCCGGTGGTTAATCTTCATTTCGAGGACTCACTCAAACTGACTGTTTATCCGCACGATTATCTTTTCTCACTTCGTGTAAGTCAATAGAAACCTTCCTACTTTGTTGTGTTCATATCGTCAGAATATTCAGAGAGTCCCTTGCTTTTGTTTCAACCATTTTTTTGTCTGTCTCTCGTCCACAAACAGGAAGACATGTACTGTTTTGGTTGGCAATCTGGTGGAATGACGACTCAGGACGGATCCGATGTAATCCTTTTGGGAGGTAATTTTCAAATCATACTATTGGCTGTTTCTGGTGGGGTGTTTTTGAATCATCTGTTTTTGTGGTGTCGGACTTCAAAAATCGGTTTCTTCATATGTAGATTTGGTGCTTTCGAACAAGTTAGTAGTATACGATCTGGATAATGAGGTCATTGGATGGGTAGACCACAACTGTAAGTATCTAGAACCTGAGAACTAAACTAGATGAAGATGATGATTAAAAAGAAGAAATCAAACAAATATGTTTTTTTTGTCTCTTAGGTTCGTCAAGCATCAAAGTGAAAGATGGATCAGGGGCTGCTTACTCAGTTGAAGCAGATAATCTCATACAGTCTGCTTCTTCAGCGATAAACGGAACACTTGTAACGTTATTGACGATATTAATCTCTGTTTTCTATACTTTTACTTCATAGTTTTGGTAAAAGGATATACACTGGGGTTTTTAAAAAAAAGAAAAATTCATTTGATCCTCTCTGTGGATGTGACTCGGGTATTTTCGAGTCATGTAAGGTACATAGACAACTAACTTACTCATGCTTTCTTGTATACCCTTAAAGATAAATATATATGTATTGTTTTGCTCAACTTTTAGGCCGTAATTTATACGGAAATGATTATTTATCAAGTAATGTTATGTTGCAAATAAAAATAAGACGTGTATTGTCCACAAAGATGCTATGTTGTAATGCGATTAAAAATTGACAAGATTTTCCATATAAATACAGAAAAGTTCACGAAACTGAGGAACCCACCTTCAAAGATTCCATCGCTGTGTTCTTACTTTTTCATTGGAAGAAACAAGATTGTAATCACTTTTCTCAACCATTAATCCCATCAACAAGAAAGTTCCTCCAAATCCTTGTGTTGGTTGGTTATTAGGAACACTTCCAACACAATTGCACAAATTCTCACTTGGCTACTAAGATAGATAATTTGATTTACAGCTACGTGTTCAAAGTTCATAGCCGTGCACATTCTCGAGTCACACTATATACATGTCTTCTTCTGAAATGTTGATGTTATCTGAGGAAGGATCTAGAATTCTATTGCCTTGGATTTGTGTCTCTTGTTATCGTGCTCAACCTCCTTCAGATCGTTGAATCACAACCAAAACAAAAGCAACAATCCGCACAAAAAGCAGAGTCAAAACTCTGAACAGCAAGGATCATCATTGTTCTTGGTCTCTGAAATGCAGTTGCGTTTTCTAACAAACAAAAACTGCTCATATAAACACAAATGCGGCTTCAGAATTTTATTTACAAAGAAAGAGAGAGATTGTATTGGGAGAGTAGAAATATATATACAAACAGCCACACTAACAAGTCACAAGCACGCGTATAACACTAATTTACCCAACCCCAAAAAACAAACCAAACCAAACAGTGACTTTTGACAGGAACATAGAGCATAAGAGACATCGAGACTCAGAAAATATCAGAGAGAGGTAGACAGAGTATAATCTCACATCTTCAGCTCCCCTGCCAACTGTTCTACTCTTTGGTTGGCACGTACACGGGGAGATTCACGAGTGTGTCGATGCGGTCCACTCCACTGAGCTCAGGTGATTCGGTTCCCGAGCCAGGAGTTGAAGTTGATGCTGTGTCCGGTTCCGGTTCAGTAAGGCCATTTCTGATGTGTTTATCCTCTGAGAAAGAAGCAGTTGATAATTTGTCCGGTTTTGAGTCAAGGAAGAGGCACACTACAGCACAGTCATCAACTTTTGAAGTGGGGAACTTCCATCTCCAGTTCCGTACTGCAGCTTCCACCAAGGCTCGACCTGCTGCGCAACGTGTTGGGGCTTTCGCTACAATCTCCACAACTTCTTCATTCGTCAATACATCCCAAATCTAGCAAAGTTTCAAGAAAGGAACACACTTAAGAGACCAAATAGCTTTGTACATCCATTTTGCATTAATTCTGTTATTCATACCAATACTTTTTCATAGACATTGTGATATTTCTTACCCCATCAGTTGCCAAGACGACAAATTCATCTTTCTCAGTGAGGCGTCGATAGGACACGTCAGGCACTGAAATGAGACCAAAGTCCTTGAGGCAAAAATCTCCAAAAGCACGTGCCATGGCTAGACCGGGTGAGTTGTGGTTAGGAAGCCAGAGGCGGGCAACCCCTGGTTCATCTCGGAGAGCAAATATACGTCCTCTGCATCTCTTTATCCTCGCTGCTTCCCCTGGGAACAAGAAAACTCAAAACTTTAATTCATAAAGCCAAATGATCTTCTCAAAATGTCTAAGATGAAATTTAAGTTTGATCATCTTAAGAACTTGAGGATGGTGGGAGTTATCTAGCGTAGTTTCATAATTTTTGTCAAGAGGCAGTAAATGAAAGGTAATTAACCTGGAACATCTGGTTTGAGATCTTCAGTTAACTGAAAAGGGACAAGTTTATTCTCTTTGTTCCTCGTACCCATTACTGCTCTTGAATCCCCAATGTTTCCAACAACAAGATGTTGACCCTAACAAAAACCCCAAAGAACAAGACAAATGAAAACGAGTTTACGCAACAGAACTCAGAAACAACAGCAGAACTTTTGGTCCAACTACCTGCTTGACCATGGTTACTGCAGTAGTTCCACTGCAAAAACAATCAACATCAACTTGCATCTTCAATTCCTTGTCCATGAATCTGTAGGCTTTAACAATAGAGGTCAACAGTGTCTGAACCATATCCTGATCCTTTACGGAATCCTTGTTGTAGACTCGGGATTCTCCATTAGCAGATATATGCACAAGGCGCTCCTCCGAGGTCTTTCTGTCAGCAGTGTTGAGGCTGATCTCTTTAAGAACCTCCTCGCAAGATACATATGACTCCAAGTGCGAGCCTAGTTTGAGTGGAAGCAGATCCCTAACTCTCTTTGCGATAACGTGACCATAGGGACCATGGCCATCAAAAACACCACAAAAAACAGTGTCCGGTATGGACCCGAAATTCTGAAACATATAAAAACAATCGATATTCAGTTGAGAAACAACAAATTTGGTTTTAAATACAAAAAAAAAAAAAAAAAAAGAAGAAGAAGAATAATCACCTCCCAGACAATCATAGCGTCCTGATTAGGACCTTTCTTTCCCTGTTGAGAGAAGAGAGATACATTATGAGTAGAGCCATTCAAGAACATCCTTCCAGGGATCCTATGGAGAAGTGGTTCATCTTCTGCTATCTTGTCAAAAGAAGAACTGCAAGATCTCCTCTTGGAACTCTTCCTCCTCCTGGTGGGGGTGGTTCCAGGAGGAATGGATCTACTCCTCCTGGTTTCTCCTGATGATGATAGGCAGGACCCCATATCAAGGGCCCTGATAACGCTTATCAGGCACTCCAGACCACCAACGCAATCAAAATCGAAACTTGTGTTTTCCAGTGACGGAATCTTCAACCTCAAGCCTTCGCTCAGCGCCAGGATTGTAGAATTGAACAAGAACACAACTGATTTGGCGATGAAAAAACAAGCCCACCCAACAATTGTTGATCAAAGGAATCTGTCGTATAGCTCTCTCTCAGATTAACGCTAGAAAAAAACAAGAATAAGTGCAGATAAAATAAGAAAGACTCAGAGCGGAAGGAATAAGAAGAGAATCAGACAGGACAGGAGTTTGAGCAGTCCAGAAATAGAAGATGGCTTTATCCACAATCTCATCCACAAACAAATCGAAAAGAGAATCTTTTTTGCAATTACAACGAAAAGGGAGAGATTGATTCGGATCTAAAGGAGAGAACTAGAAACGGATTTCACGGAACAACCACAATTTTCTTACGATAATGGCGCTCTCGTTCTCTCTCTCTCTCGATCTTGTTTTATGCTTTATTGTTTGGATCTCGTTTTTTTTTTTAATTATGTTTTAGGATAAAAACTTCACGAAAACTCATCGATTTTTTTTTTCAAATTATCTCATGATAATAGGTCTCATATAACCAATGTTTATAAACCCGACCGAAACATGGATAACTTTCCGAGTTACCGGATTCGACCACAGATAAACCACGGAACAATACATTAGTTAAGTTTAATATATAATTATATATTATCTATTTTAAATATAAGTGAATTCAATCTCTTGAAAATAGACAAAATATTTCAATTTAGTCTTTTATTTTTATTTTCATTTCACATATAAAATATTTTTCAAATATTCAAAATATTTGTTGTAAGAAATTAGGAGTTGAGCATAACAATAAATTTTAAATATCTATCATTGTGCATTATATTTTTTAGGAGGAATAATGGAATATTCATCAAAGTCTAAATATCACAATAAATAGTTTAGTCGATACTATAAATGATTTTACAAAATTGAACAATAATTAGATTCACAAAAAAATGTTATTTATTTAGAAACATTTATAATCAAGAAAAGAGGATAAAAAACATGTGATTTACATAAAGAACAAAAATAAATTTATATGATAGAAGTTAAAACCTAGAAGGTTAAAAACAAATGCTATTCACTTTAAACGAAATCAGCAAAAGGTTTAAAAGAAAATTGAAAGATATATAAAATATATGTGTTAGCAAGGAAAAGGATTTAATAAAATAGTTAAAAATCAAAGAAAAACTAAATAAAAATTAATCATTGGTTCATCCGGATCTTATCGGATTTTTAATTAGTGCATATTTCTTAAAATCTAAACTGGATTATTTACCGGATCACCGGGTTTGACGGTCCGACCACAAATCCGAATCGTGCGTGAAAACATTGGTTCTTGTGTACCATATGAGATTTTCTTTTTTTGGTTATGTGATGACCTATTATCATGAGATAATTTGAAATAAAATCAATGAGTTTTTGTGAAATTTTTAGGAAGAATTTACCAGATGACTAAAATCTGATGCTAAATTAAAGATATGAGTATATGACTATGATTTTGACATTATTTGGAACTAACATTTAGCACATATTGGAGCCTGTTATACCCATGGGTGCATTGAGTGGTAAAAGTTACAGGTCACACTTTAGAATGTAAATGACGTCGACCCTTAATTTTTTTTTTTTTTTTTTTTTTGACAACGAAACGGCTGATCTATTACTCAAGCTTGAGGTGGTCTGGGAATCCAGACCGGAATAGAACAACCTACAAACATCAATTCTCGATAAAATGATCGAGCAGTCCTAGCTAGTGAATCGGAAACACCATTCTGAGCCCTGGGTCCATAAACAATCTTAAACTCGGGAAAACAAATCTGCAGAGTAGCTAGCTTTTCCAATTCCGTTGAGAAGCTTGGCCAATCCTGTGGTTTCCTTAGCATTGATATCACCTCCTTACAATCCGTCCCAAAGCTCTGACATGGCGAATGTTGAAGTATGTTCTCCATTGCCCACCGCAGTGCTTCCAGCTCAGAGTGCAAAGCAGACTCCACTCTATCAAAGTTGCGCAATCCCATCAGCTGACCTCTCCGCATACTATCCTGCCATACCCATCCACATCCGCTATATTGAGCTGTAGAGGTCCATGATCCATCCACCAGACAAATATTCCCCAGACTTATGATCTGGCTGCCACCCTCCGTGTCGATTTGAGAGGGTAAGGACGACTGTTCATTAGCTTGATACCAGGCAAGGCATTCACTTTCTGCATAGCGTGCTGTTTCCAAAGGGTCTCTATCAATTCCTTTGAACAATTTGTCATTCCGAGCCTTCCAAATGTACCAAATTAGCCATGGATAAGGATCCATATCTACTGCCGGTCCACCTATGGCATCCTTCCTCCAAAAGAGATAGTCCATGTTCGCATATGTGCTCTGCAATGGAAATAGAGACGGGCTAGTGGGTAGAGACGATAATGCCCAGACTTGCTTTGCAGGAGGGCACAGGAAAATGGCATGTGTAATCGATTCCTCCGGTTCTCCACAGCGTGGACAATAGTTATCACACCGCATATGGCGATAGTTTAAGATGCTCGTAACAGCCAGCTGACTTGATATTATCTGCCACATAAGATGGCACATCTTTTGAGGAGCTCGAACCTTCCAAACTTGCGCTTGTAATTTAGTAACACTAGGTTCACTAACAACAGGCATTTCTTCCCTCTTTAGAACATTTTGTGCCACCCAGTATCCAGACTTAACTGTATATTGTCCATTCCTTGTATAGCTCCAGCAGAAGGTATCTCTCCGATGTGTTGAGCTAATGGCCATACTCCTTATGAGAGGTATATCGACAGCACTGACGTATTGCTCCAGTTTTGTCATGTCCCAAGTCTTTGTCTCTTGATCAATAAGATCACTGACTCTCATGTTTGGATGTAACACCAGTGCAGATGGGATCGCCGGTCTTGCAGGTATAGTAGGAATCCAAGGAGCCTCCCATACTTTCACCTCATACCCCGAATGAATCTTCTGTCTGATACCCAATAACAATAGGTCTCGTGACGCCGAAATACTAGTCCACACATATGATGGGTTACTAGTTGAAAGTTTGCACAAAGGCGAACTTGATCGATAGTACCGACCCCTCATTACACGAGCAACCAAAGAATCCGGATATTGACTCAGCCTCCATAATTGTTTTGCCAACAATGCCAAGTTAAATTCATGAATCAACCTGAAACCAATCCCACCTTCCTCCTTTGGTAAGCATACTTTGTCCCAAGTTGACCAATGGATACCCCTTTTTGGTGGATTAGAGCTCCACCAGAACTGTGCAATAGCACTAGCTAGGGCATCACATATTTCCAAGGGTAAAAGAAAGCAGGACATGACATAGGTCGGCAGAGCTAGCAAGATCGACTTAATCATAACCTCCTTTCCACCTTTTGATAACCATCGTCCTGTCCACCCATTAACCCTATGTCTTAGCTTATCCTTCAGAAACGCAAAAAGCTTACACTTGGATCCACTTATATCCTCCGGAATGCCGAGATAAGTGCTCATTCCTCCTTCATTGTGAATGCCAAGAGTATCCTTAATTTCTTGTCTAACCCCCAATCCAATCCTTTTACCGAAGAGTAAAGAAGATTTGTCGAAATTGATGCATTGACCAGAGGCTTGTCCATATTTCTTAACCACCTTCATTACTTCTTCACATTCACGGGGCTCCGCCTTACAGAAAAACAGACTATCATCAGCAAAGAGAAGGTGAGATACCGACGGACACGCACGCGTGATACGCATCCCTGTTATCTTCCCTTGTCTCTCTGCGTGATTTAGAAGGCTAACGAGCGCTTCCGTGCACAGAATAAAAATGAAAGGGGACAGAGGATCCCCCTGTCGTAGACCTCTCTCTGGGACAATGTTCCCTCTTGGCTGACCATTCATCAGTACCTTATACCTAACAGAAGTTATACAGCGCATAATCCAAGTTATCCATACTTCTGCAAAACCCATCTTCCTCATGGTGGCCTCAATGAAGGACCATTCCATCCTATCATACGCCTTACTCATGTCCGTTTTAATCGCCATCCTCTTATTCCTTCCACTGGGTTTAGTCCTTAGGGCATTAAACAGCTCTTGGGCAATCATAATATTGTCCGAAATCTGCCTTCCCGCAACAAAAGCCGACTGGGTTTCTGAAATTCTATCTGGAAGAACCTTCTTTAACCTCTGGCATAAGACCTTAGAGATTATCTTATAGCTAACATTGCACAAACTAATTGGGCGTAGCTGACTCATCTGATCCGGCTTATCAACTTTCGGGATAAGACATATGTTTGTTTCATTTAATCCATTAGGTATCTCTCCTTCAAACAGGAATTTATTAACCATAAGAGTTAAATCCTCTTTGACAATATCCCAAAACTTTTGGTAAAAAAGAGCAGTCATCCCATCCGGGCCAGGGGCTTTCTCTGGATGCATGGCAAAGAGAGCCAACTTGATCTCCCATTCCGTTACTGGTGCTGTGAGACCTTCATTATCCATAGGTGTGATAGTAGTAGAGACTTTAGATAGTGCTTCCTCTATATCCTCCGGATTTGATGATTGGAAAATATGTCTAAAATAATTAGTAGCAATGGCTACTAATCCTTCCTCATCCTGTACCACATTTCCGTTTTCATCCAGAAGTTGTGTGATCCTGTTCCTTGCTCTCCTCTGCTTCGTGAGAGCGTGAAAAATTTTTGTATTTCTATCTCCTTCTCGTAACCAGAAGACTCTGCACTTTTGTTTCCAAAACATCTCCTCTGCCTTAAGAGCATCAGATAATTCTTTTAAAGCCGCTGCAATCTCCTCAGTAGTGGCGTCGTCATTTGAAGACAACTGATCTACTTTCTCTTTTAATTCCTCCACACTCCTCTCAGAGTTGAGATTGTGCTGTCTCTTCCACTCACTTAGAGCCCGTCTACAGCTTGCGATGTGCTCCATTATGCTGGCTCCCGGTGGAAGATCCGGAGATTTCCAACCTTCCAGAATCACTTGTCTGAGTTCCTCATTATCCAACCAGCGCTTATCAAACTTAAAATTCTTGGATCTCCGTGGTCTCTTTTTAAGAATATCAGCTAGGATCGGACGATGATCCGAACCCCACATCCTCATATACTGTGTCTTCGTATGAGGAAATTTATCATGCCAATCCTCATTACCAACAGCTCTGTCCAGTCGGCATCTAACTGTGACCCTCCCTGCTCTTTTTCCTGCCCATGATAGCATATTTCCTGTGAATGGGAACTCCAACATTCCACAATCACTTAACATTTGTCTGAAGGGCAAGAAAGAACTGTCTGAGCGTTCACGACCCCCCTCTTTCTCTTCAGGGCATGTAATCTCATTAAAATCACCAATCATGAACCAAGGTCCATTTCTTGTTGTTGAGAAACGCGTAAGACGTTCCCAAACTAACTCCCTACGTTCTAAAACAGGATCACCATAAACAAACGTCATGTAAACTTTTATTCCATCAATGATTGCCTCAATGTCAATCATTCTGTTATTTGAAAATA